AAAAAGACACTTTCTTTAGTATTTTCTGCCATAGGCATTTTTTAATATAAAAAATTAATGAGTCGATAATTGATCGTTGAACAACCTCTAAATACCACGTTGACACCACCTTGTTGTGGCGAAGTGTGTTAGCAAAAAGTTGCCAATTTCCATGTGCTCGACTCGGAGCAACACTAACATATATTTGGAGTCATGATTATGTCAACGTGACGAATTAAAGTCCAATATTCATTCTCCTTTTACCACTGTTTTGGTCTCCACCAGCTCCTGAGGAAAGCATCGGGCTCGTTGGCAGCTAAACGTGCCACAGCTAATCTTTACCTTTGTCTGTTTGCCATGTGGTGCTGGGCAGGTACTGTACAGTTGTTTTCACTAAAAACAGCTGGCTGTTGCAGCTGGAAATGAGGATAAGAGTGGTGAAAGTGAACCAGAACAGTAAAGGTTTAGGTTGCTAAAACAATTTGCTAAAAGTTGCTAAAACACTGCGTAGGTTAGAGGGGGACGTCATTTGACCGATTGTTATTAAAGCAAAAATGTTGAGTAGTGCAGCTTTAAGGTTATATAATCTTGTTCAGCGGGATCACAGAGTTCTGGAGAAAATCTTGTCATAATACTTGGAATAACAAGACCTTTGTAATGTCGAGGCATCAATTAGATTGGATATTAGCTTAAAACGTTCCCTCCCACACCTTCAGAAATGGCACCTGCTCTGTTCAAGTACAAACTGTTCCCTGTAGTGTTGTTTCACTGAAGAATAATAACTCCCACTCTGTCTGCTCCCCGTTTTAATCAACCTTTGAGCTTTATTTTCTCTGTATGAGCGTGATAAGAGAGGTCTGGCTATGCAAGATTCACTAAAAGTAGTTATCACACAATGTTTTTGTATTAGCTCTGTGGATCAGAGGAGGAAGTCATTGGATGTGAATGTTCGCTTTGGAGTGGCTTTCATGTTGAAATCATGATTTTAATCTAGTCTGGGAGTTAATGCCCCAATTTAGCTTTTGACTCTGGCAAATATGCTGGGACTGAATTTTAATGAGCATAAACAGTAACAGGAAAAAAAATACGAACCTGTATTATCTGCACTCAGCAGATGCACAGAGGGAAAAGGAGTTTCCATACACACATGCACACCACGCGCACACACACACACACACACACACACACACACACACACACATACACACACCTGTCCACTGACACACAATACACAGTATATTTCATTGTTGCCTTTGTATCTGAATGTAAAGAGCACCCGGGGATCTTCAAGCAGCATTCATTTGGACTCTCTTGTTTATCTCTTTGACTTGCTCCATACAGAGCCTTTTGGGACCTTGTTGTGATCATCCATCACCATAGCAACATATCTCAGGAAGTTCCTCTTAGACCTGGGCACAGAACAGCGGACAAAGGAGGTGATGCCTTCTGGAAAGAAGGATTGTCTGTCTGCTCTTATTGTGTGTGTCAGAGATTAGGATGGTCGGCTGTTGGGAGGGTGAAATCAGGAGCATCTAGGGAAGTGCGTGATAATGCGAGCTGCCCGATATGTAAGGGAGGTCTTGTCTTGAGTAGGACATTCAGTGATTATATATTACTTTTAAGTACTATATTTGGTCAAAAAAATCATCTTAGTGTGCCTATAGTCTTTTATGATTTAGAAGAAGATGATAAATGTGTACTGTATGTTCGTGTATTAATTTCCCTCCTCCTGGGTTATACCAGCTGGTCCAGGCATTCAGGTCTTTTGGTGATAAACCTGTATCTCTCTCCTCCAGGCAGGCATTGTTACGATTTATGATCAGCTAAAACAAGTGGCCTGCTTTGCATTCGTATATTTATCTTGTGCAGTTTCTATATTTTCCTTTTCTTACCCATATTTACTCTGTTATAAATGAGGTTTTAATTGGAGATTCTTTATCATCACTGCAGGACTCTGTGTGAGCAGGTGGTGTTTTAATTTATAGTTTTAAATTTAACTTATTTTCTATCAATTTGGTTGTAAAACAAGAATATATCTACCTATAATTTAAATATGGGCACTACCAAATATGTAGTTTTCATATGTAGTTGGGGATTGGGTTATTTTAAGGCTCAGGAAATGCATCAAGTGTCTTAAAATGACTGTAGATTTACCAATTCTATTAAAGGTCCCATATTGTATGAAATGAGATTTCCATGTCTTTTTTAATTATAAAGCAGGTCTAAGTTCAGCCATCTAACCGTGCAGGATTTAGTTTCACTGAGTGTTTTACCTGAAATCTGCTATATTTTTATTCGATCACTCAAGAAACAGTCAGCCAATCTCTTCTGAGAGTTCTCTTTGTCACAGCTGTCAGGGTTTGGGGGGTAAGGCTGGACCCAAAATGCAGCCAACACTTGGGAGACGGTGCAAAAGGTTTATTTGACAAAACCAAGAACCTTACACACAACACTGGTGAAGCACAGGGAAACACAGGGGAAGAACAGGGAAACACAGGAACTTAAAACAGGAGACAGGAACAGGCAACATGAACAGACCGAGGACAAAGCAGACATGAACAGACTGAGAACAACCACACATGAACAGCTTTGCGACCAACCAAACGTGAACCGACGAGGACAAACCCAGAAATCAACAGAGAGACCACAGACGAACCGACCCAGACAAAGGGCAGCACAAAGACTATATAGACAAGGGAGGCAAGGGTGATTGCACACAGGTGAAACACATTAGGGCGGGGCAGACAATCACCACACAGAAACAGGACCAAGACAGGAAGCAAAAACCCTGAGACACACAAGGAAACCAATTACAAAATAAAACAGGAAGTGAGAAAAGTCCAAACAAAACTAACAAAAAGTGTCTGCCATAGCAAACCATGACACTTTTAACCACAACTATATCTTCTCATGGATCAACACTTCATATAAAACCCTGGAAAAATGTAAAATATGTGAGCTCTTTGATTTTATGGCTCCAGAAAATACAATAGACAAAATTACAAAATGACCTTACATAACAAAAACTGTCATGTGCATATTTGCTGGATTATGTAAGTGTGTGAACTCACATATTTTGAAGTATGAAGTGGCTCAGGTCATCTCACAGCTGCACAGCATATACCAACCAAGTACCAACCAAGGCCATTTAGATTTTGTAATTGAGGCCCTGACCTCTAGTTATTGGCTGTTACATTCGACCTGGAAATAAAAAATACAGAAGCTACAGGAGAAAGATTCATGTGTACCAAATATTTCAACAGTTTGAACAAAGGTGACTTTCTTATTAGAGCTTTAGCTTGAAATGAAGCCAACGTAATCAAATAGCAACTTGTTTTGTCTTCTTCTCTTTGTTTTTTAACCATTTGTGATTGTTCTTACAAAATATAAAAACAAGAAAAAAGCCTCTCCAAACACACTAATTGCTTAATTGAACAAGCTGTATAGTATTTCCCTTTATTTGCTAATGTTGATATCCTTACTTTATCCCTCACGATTTCCCCCTGTATCCTGCAGCACTGTAAATTATTGTTGCTTCCTTTTTCCCCTTCTCTTCCCGGCATCCTCACATCCTCATTAATGCTGTTAAGCCAAGGTTGTGAAGGACATGCCTCCGTTATTTTTTTCTCCATAGGTCAGTGTGTATTGTTCCTAACACAGCACCAATTATTAGCCATCGCTGTGAGGGATGAAGGTGTGCCTTTGTGCGACCCGGTGGTAATTAAGAAGCCAGTATGGCTTCATAAACAGGTCTCGTACTAATAGAACTAAATGCGTTATGTTTCTGTTCTGCTGCAGGCTTGTTTTTGTTGTGATGGAAGGAGGGTTGTTAAGTTGATTAGTAGTTTAGTATTCTACAAGCCACTGGGCTGAGATTGGACCAAACTTTTGAAAATTTTGACCGTCCACATCATCAATATGTCTCTAGGTGGCTGCATTTTAATTTCCCAGTCTTTTCTCCTTTTCTGTTCAACAATGGTATCTATCCCTTTAATTTTTTTAAGTTTTACATTGTATTTATTTTTTCATGTCATTTAAAGGAATACTTTAATAGATTCAGTTGCTAAGAGTAAGAAAAGGAGATTGATACCGCTTTAATGTCTATATGGAGCTGGAGCAAGGAGGCAGTTAGCCTAGCTTAGCATAAAGACTGGAAGCAAGGGGAACCAGCTAGCCTGGCTTTCTCAAAGGTTTACCAATTGACAAATTATATATTATTTGTTTTATCTGTTCACAAACTGAAAATGTAAAAATGATGACTTGGGATTTTAGGAGAGGGGCCCTCATCCAAGAGTTGACAGAAGTGACACAGGGAGAGAAAAGAGAAATATGCAGCAAAGGTCCCTCGCCATATCTGATCCGGAAACAATGCGGTTCGTGGTTGGTGCCTTAAACCCATATTGACCACCAGGCTGTGTCCCACCCAGCACTTCTGTGCAATGTCTCTGCTACTTGCCTACAACCTCAAAACAAAAGAAATCACTGCTCCCATCCAAGAAAGAGTCAAGCACACAACCTGCATTTACACATTGGTGTTTTACAGAGTCAACACAAGATATAACATGTTAATTTGTGAACATTAGAGATGCTATCAGTCAGATTCTGTTACTGTTGGACACCGTCACGGTAGCTGTTTACCTTTTTCCAGTCTTTACGATAAGCTAAGCTAAGCTAAGCTAAGAAATATTAAGCTAACAGACTGTTGGCTAAAAATATTGAATGCACAGATATTGGAGGTGTATGTCTTCATCTAACTCTTGACAACAAAGTGATTGCTTTCAGTCTTTGTGCTAAGCTAAGCTAAGATAAGCTAATTACCTCTTACCTCCAACCCCATAAAGCAGACAAGTGTAATACCCAAAATTTCAAACTACAGCTCTAATTTAATGTAAAGCACATTAGATTGCCTTTGTTTTTGAAATGTGCCACATTAACTAACTTGGCTTTGCGTTTCAGGGTTGCTTACCTGTCACTGATGGGATCTTACCGACTTCTGTTGCCTCAAATCCCTTAACGCCTCCATGGAGATCATCCAGGCCACGCAGCTTTCCTTGCTGCCTCAGGAAGCCCCTACAGCCACCTGGAGCAACAGCTCTGCGCCGCCTTACTCCCATTTCCTGCTGCTCTCCACTCCCTCTGAACCGGTTCTCAGCTTCACACCAACCGATGGCTCTTTCCTCTTTAGCACCTGTCTGAACTGCACCAAACCTGAACCTGGATCGCTCCCTGGTTTGGCTGGAATCTTCATTCCTCTTATCTATGGGATAGTGTGTGTCGTTGGCCTGGTGGGAAACACTCTGGTCATCCATGTTATTGTCAACTACACCAAGAATGAATCAGTCACCAACATCTACATCCTTAACTTAGCCATTGCAGACGAGCTCTTCATGCTGGGTCTGCCCTTCTTGGCGGCGCAGAACGCTCTGCTCTCCTGGCCCTTCGGCTCTCTAATGTGCCGCGTGGTCATGACGGTGGACGCCATCAACCAGTTTACCAGCATCTTCTGCCTGACGGTGATGTCAGTGGACCGCTACCTGGCCGTGGTGCACCCCATCCGCTCCTCTTGGTGGCGGCGTCCCCATGTGGCTAAGGCCATCAGTACCACAGTTTGGGCAGGGTCCTTCGTGGTGGTGCTGCCGGTGGTGGTATTTGCCGATGTGCTGAAGGACGATGGGAACTGCAGCATCGTGTGGCCTGAGCCAGCAGAAGTGTGGAAGACATCTTTCATCGTGTACACGTGCACTGTTGGGTTCTTCTGCCCGCTGCTGGTCATCTGCTTGTGCTACCTGCTGATAGTCATCAAGGTAAAACATTTACAGTAACACAGATGTTTAGATTTGTTTACACAGAGTTGAGAAGTGGGAGGAGACGCTTATAATTATGACAGGAGCAAAGGGAAAAGTGCGGTGACGCATAGTATAAAGAGCACCGAAGTCAGCGTTAGGAAGCAGTTGAGGTGGATGGATGTGTCAACAAACAACGAGGAGAGCGATGTTCGATTCCCACGTGAAACCATGAGTTCATACTGTAACCATGACAACAAAGATCATCTCATGTTGAGGAAGTAGATATTTCAAACCCAAATCATGATCTTTTCCTAAACCTAACCAAGCCATGACCGTTATTATAGTAACCAAGGCAACAAAGGTAGGTACGCCACTGTCTATTTATATGTTTATATGTGCACAGGCTCATGCCTTTAAATTTTTCTTTTTCTTCAAAGAATCAGATAATTTCCAATACAGATGTTTATCATTTGTACTGATGTTTCAACCAGGACAGTTTCGCATCGAACCACGCTGGAGAAGGGCTCCAACTGTGAGCCACCAACCAAACATGGTCAAAAATAAATTAAAGAGCTCCACGTACTTTGCAATTCTACTGTATAACATTATTTTTCTGCCACAGATATATTACCAAAAATATGTATTATGTAAGTATGCATGTAGAGAGAGAGCAGTGAAGCCCTTTAATGCAACAGCTTTCATCACAAACACATGGGTACATGCTAATATTCTTTATAATTGGACCGTTATCGTTTGGGATTACTAATGATGATGGAGGACACTTACACTGATGCAATATGTGCACAGAAAATGGAAACGCACACTGTGCCCGAGTCAGTATTGTTATGACTCTGTGGGAAAACATTAAGTATCCACCACAAGATCTAACGCAAGACTATTTATTTTATTACTTTAGAGCATAAAGTAGCATTGATGCTATCAGTAATAATGTGTTTCTCTTGTGCTGTTTACTTTAATATTTGAAAGATCAGTTCACATATTTTTTTTCCCTAACCCAACAAGCGATATGTAGTGTTTTGAGCTATGCACTGTTTAACTGTTTCAGTCAAAATGTTTCTGTATCTCATGTCATAAATCATATTACATCATATTGTATCTGATGTGATACAGCAGCATTAGCGGCAGTGAGTGTTTACACGAGACAGCTAAAAAGATCTTTTGTTTTTCTTTCAAAAGGTTCGAACCGTTGGAAAACGGGCACAGGCCACATCCTCTCGACGCAGGAAGTCAGAGCGTAAAATCACCAGGATGGTAGTTGTCGTGGTGGCCGTGTTTGTCCTCTGCTGGCTACCGTTCTACGCTCTGAACATCATCAACCTCCTGGTGGTGCTGCCGGGGGACTTCAGGGGGCTCTACTTTTTTGTTGTCGTGCTGTCATATGCGAACAGCTGCGCCAACCCCATACTGTACGGATTTCTGTCCGACAACTTCAAGAGAGGCTTCAGGAAGGCCCTGTGCCGCACTTCACGCAGGGTGAAGAGCAACGACAGGGCCGGCACTGAGGCACAGCGGCCCACAGAGGAGTGGGGCGGCATCGTGCTTCAAATGCAAAAAAGTGAAGGAGTCACCAAGGCGCATAGGGAAGACTGTGGTGAAAACGAAGACGAGGAGGAAATCAACGGAACAGAAGGGGCCGTACAGATGAGTGAAATACGCAAAATGTCAGAAAATGGAAACCACAGGGGAGTAACGGACGGCTCCAGGACACAGGCGGTGCAGAGGGGTAAGCCTGAGCCGGAGGACTCTGGTCAGAGTGCCAAGCAACTGACTGGAAAAGGCCCAGGCCTCGATCCTGCTGAGGCAGTGTCCTCTCTGCCCGGTCGAAACAGCAGGTCACAACCTGAAGAACTCCTGGACAAAAACTCTGTGCTTGAAATCAGCTATCTGTAACAGACGTGAACCCGTCTCCAGTGGATTTTGGCACAGCCCCGTTAAATCAATTCTCAGAGATGTGCGCATTGTTAACGATGAAAGTCTTTTTGCAATGGTGGGAGAATGTAAAAAAAAAAAAGAAAAAAGAAGAAGCAGACATGATGTTAACCGTGTTGGATTGAAACATGAAAGATGGGAAGTACGAGCGCAAATGTGTTAAATACTTTGCCTTGGAAAATAGCCAAAGTATTATGAAGCTCAGTGTGCCGTTATCTTTGCAAATAGTCTAAGACATGAAGAAACAGTGCTATCATCAAGACTGACACATTTTTTTCTTGACGGTTTTGTCTTAATTTCTCACTCCTGATCTTGAGAGTGAGATTATTGTACCAACTGTCATGGTAATTTAGACTGAGAAAAGCCCAGATTTTCTACCTAATCAGCCATCAGAGATTGATGTTGGTGGTCTGGCTTCAGCGACTCTTCTAAGTAAATGATCTACTACACGAAAGACCATCATTAATTTATTTATTGCTGTCATGCTGCAGAAAACTGCCATGTTTTTTTTTTCCTTTTTTTTAAGGATCAGGAACATCTTGCACTGAAATGGCTAATGCGCTGTATGAATCATGTCCCAATGGGAGACACTGCAACCCATGGTGAAATGACAAACGTCAGCTATGTTAACCTTTTACTTTTACTGCTTCGGCTTTTACTGCAGCCGGCACAGGTGAATTGTCGGCTACTGTTTACACAAACACATCTCTCAGTCTGTTGCTTAGCGTTTTTTTTTTTTGTGATTTCTTTTTCCCCCTTCAAGGTTAACTTGCTTTAGCTTGTTACACGAGATGTGCAATAGCAACACATAAAAAACACTCTCTAAATAGGTATAGAGGAGGTTTCAAGAACAGGTGCAATGATTCAACTATAAATGCAACACATTTGTTTTTGCAAGAGGCTGATTACGCAGCATGATTACTGCACAGGTGTGCCTTGGGCTGGTCACAATGAAATGTGCAGTTTTACATTCATTAGGTACTGAACTGTGTGACTTGAGCTACAGATATGCATTTTTTTTTGGGGGGGGGGTCTTTTGTGTGCTTCAAAAAAGTCTTAGATAGTAGATTTCAGCTAATGGAAAAAAATAAAACTGTTGCATTTATATTTTTGTTCAGTATAGCAGTATATATTTAAGTCTATTTTCTGCAAGACTGTTTAACGTCATTTTTTTCCTATCAAATCTAAAACATGGTAGTGGGAACTGCACACCTCCATGTAGGAAACATGTTTAAATATGTATATTTCAATCTTAAATCCTCTTAAATATTTAAATAGACCTTTAGATGAAGAGAATGAGACAGATTTAAACCTTGAGACACTAGAAAATCATTGCAAAGAGTTGGTCTTTTTTTTTGGATATTTCATAGATTCAATTCTTTTAAACATCCAAAATGATATAAAATATGAATCTGTGGCGAATAACGCAAACAACTTTTTTAACTTCTGTCACCTTTGAAACATTCCTGTCAAGTGTGGAAAGATATTTTCTTGAAAAACTTCTGCTTTGTGCTCATAGTTTAACACTTTCTTTACACTTTTCTTTACATTGCCTGCTGACACAGGCAATGTAAAGAAACTGGATTGGTCATGATGGTTGAAATAGTAGGGCTGTGTTTTGTAATGTGCTGTGAAGTCAGTATTTTATGTCTAATTAAATCCCAGATCGACAGGTTATATTACAAGGCCAACTCGCCACATAATTGTTTTTTTTTTTAAATCAGTCTGTTGTCTGTGATCACAAAAAGTACAGTGTTTGTATTAAGATGTTGTGTTATCAGCATGTTGTCAAGAGCTTTGGTGAAGCACTAAAGCAAAGAGTGGTGTGGTGAGAGTGGACTAAATAAATGTTTACACATGATATTGTATGTAAATATTTTTGCACCATAGTAAAACCTGATGTTGTTGCAATCATGTCACTCGAACTACTGCACATAGTATGTGCACGTATGCAGTATGTAATATATTTATTACATGTATATAAATGTGTAACCTTTGTCATTTTGACCTCTGAACTCTCTGTTGATCACCAAGAAAGACTAAAACCAATGAAAAATAATCCTTCACTTTATTTCAAAACGTTGTTGCTGCTGTTCACTTGAAACACTTCAGTGAAAAGGTTTAAACAAGTCAAAGCTGAAGTACAGTTTGTTCTGCACTCGGTTAACGGAACAAGAGGCCAAGGCTGCCCTCTAGTGGTTGAAGGTAGTAAAGGAAAAGAAGATCTTCACTATTGAGTAAAGCAAAATAGGAAATACTTTAGAAAATATGAGTTTTATTCATTTCCAAACAAACAAATGTGTTACTTTGTAGTGTGTTGGTCTTGTGCACTTAACAATAACAACATTACAGATTTGGATGGTATTGTTTTAGTGCGTGTCTAACCTTGTTGAAGCACTGGATGTGTGTTTGAAACGGAGGAAATTTCACATTATTTCAGATTCGTTTTTTTTTTTTTACATGCATCCATTAATTCTTCTCCTCATCCATCAGCGCAGCCTCATTCTGGTACGACCTCTCCTATCCACTTGAGGTAGGGCGGGTTGCCCTGGTCGATAGGCAGGCTGATGACCTCGGCCACCTCGTAAGGATGGTTGGAGCTGAGGAGGACAACGAGCAGTTATAAGTCGACCGAGTGCACAGATAGACAGTCGTTACACACAGTACAATACATATTAACGACAGTAATTAAAAGCCATGCCCTCTGACTGTGTGAGTCACGGCAGGTAATGGAAGAAATGATCAGCCCAGTGTTCCCGTGAGAGATGGGATGGAGCAAGATATTTTCTGCAGTGGGTCTAAAAAAAAAAAAACAGACTTACCGGACATATTCAGCAAGAGCAGGCACTTTGGAACTTCTTGTTTTAATCATCTAAACGAAACGAGGAGAGAGACACAAGGTCAAGTTGACCGACTTATTCAGAAGTGCAGCCTTTTAATACTGAAAAATAACCCATTCTGAGTCTAGGACACTCTGACTTTTTTTTTGTTTTTTCCTCTACAAAGTTAACGAGATGCTAATGGTTTTTGACGTTCCTGATCTCAGAAAATCTGTCTCCGTCCCTTCCTGCTTAAGTTTGCATGAGATGCAGGCCATGAAAGAGCAAAATCTAAAACTGGTCACACTTCAAAATACAGGACAAATTCCAATCCGGCCCCTCCAGCCTCCCCCGACACCCTTTCACACCGTTAGCGTGTGTTGGCATGAAGCGGCTGCCACATTAAGTGTCGTTTCAAACTAATGACCCTTCAGTGCAAGTGGGTCAAACACAACATTTTAATCAAAATACTCTGGAGAGCTTTGGTTATCAGTGTTAATGAACAATATTAATAAAAGCCTAACAATACCTGTGAGTGCTATTTGTAGCTGCAATTATAACATATGTAGCAGTTAAAGTTGTAGTCAATGCAGTAGCAGTTATGGTAATATGTGACGCTGTTGCAATAATATTATTCTGAAGTAACAACAGCAGTTTTAGTAATTTACCTTTTAAGATGTAGACATCTTATAATACCACAAGACTTAGTGGGCACTCACCAGCAGCACCTCGTTGTCCTCCTCAATCTTCCCCTGCCATTCATATCTGAAGGACCGAGACAAAATGATTTTAATTATACAACAACAGTATAATTAAGCACCGATATTGGATGAAAAGATCATTTATTTACTTCAAATGCAAGTGTCATTCACGACCTGTCATTATTCAAAAACACTCGGTGCACGTTGAAAATACAGACGCAGACATCCCAGTCTGACCTGACACTGACAAGCAGCCGTCTCTGAACTTACACAGATTTGATTGCTGGGATAATGTTGACGCACGCGGCTAACTTCTTCTCCACAATACCCCTGAGAGATAGAAGAAAAGAATGAATCAGATAAATGTAATGACATTAAAAAGAACTGGCAACAATCCTGTTGCCTGAATGGCAGAAATGAAAATCTACAGTGCATTCAGAAAGTGTTCAGACCCTTTCAGTTTTAAATTTTTTTTTTTTTTCATGACAAAATCATGTTTTTCCTCATCAATCTACACTCAATACCACATAATGACAAAAGGAAAACACAGAACTTTTTTTCAAATTTATTAAAAAGGAAAAACTGAAATATCATATTCAGACACTTTGCTATGACACTTGAAATTTAGCTCAGGTGCCTCCCATTTCTCTTGATCATGTTTGTGATGTTCTGATTGGACAAGATTTGGAAAGGCACACACCTGTCTATATAAAAAGTCTCACAGCTAATAATGCATATCAGAGCAAAAACCAAGACATGAGGAGGAAGGAACTGCACCTTCCTACACTTCCTAGAGCTGGCCGCCCGGCCAAACTGAGCAATCGGGGAAGAAGGGCCTTGGTAAGAGAGGTGACCAAGAACCTGACGGTCACTCTGGCTGAGCTCCAGAGATCCTGTGTGGAGATGGGAGAAACTTGAAGGGGTCTGAACACTTTCAAAATGCACTGTACATTTGTTTTACAGGATGATGAGGTATATGAGCTAAAACTCCATTTTCATTATGTCCAGTCAGTAACGGAGAAGAGGGACGTCAAAAATAGATTTTCAGAACTTTGACTTTATCCTTTATTCTATAATCATGTTAACGAGAGAAAACACAATTACTCATTGTATCACCTGGCCAAATCTTTAGCTACTGTGTCGTTAGGACAGGTGACGAAAGCGGCAGAGTGTGTGCCCGACGTGTACGTCTCAGATGCCATGGAGAACGCCCTCAGTCCAACAGTCCTCAGCAGCTGGAACATAAACGCACTCAGGAGCACCGTCTGTGAGGAGTCAACACAGAGGAGGAAGAAGATGAAATCCAACAACATGGCAACATGTCCAAAATACATTAGAGCAAAGCATGGAGTTCAACAAACACAAACCAACCATTAAGTGGAATGGTTGAGTTGTGTTAGAGGCATCTGCATGCTCTGCACACTCACCAAAATTAAAGCTTTTAAGGATCCACCTTGCAGTGTCTCTGCACTGGGCAGTCCAATCCGCATGCCCTAAGCAGGTCAAACACACAGCGGTTAGCCCGTGTACACAAACACACAGTGACTGCTTCAAAGTTTTATGTGCCAAAAAATGTTTATTGCACCTCGAGGCTGGGGTATTTTTTACTTGCATAAAAGGTAAAAGATTAATGTTACACTTTTTAAAAACAGGTGTAAAATGTTTTGTTTAGTAAAATGGAAAAAGGAGGGAGGGGTGAATGTAAAGTACTGTGCAAAAGCTTAAGGTTTTATATGTTTAAATTTTTATCCATCACACAGGGAGGATTCTGATGACAATGACCCCAAATATACAACCAAAATCATAAAGACCTGTCTTATATTATCTTCTGATGCTCTGGCCCGCACAGAGCCCTGATCTCCTCATCATGGACTGAGTCTGGGATTACACAACAGACAGGAGACACTGAGACAGACTAAATCCACTAAAGAACTGTGGCAAGTTCTCCAAGATGTTTTTAACAAAAATACCTGTTTGAAAAACTGTGAAAGTGTATTTTGTATTTTAGTAAAAATGTACAACTTCTATTATGAATAATACTTAGTCAACCATGTTATCATGGTTTGGGACCAATATGGAAATAAGTCATTTTAACCTGTGTGGCATGCTTCAATTTTATGTATAAAACTTTGTTTGTCATATGCTGTATTTAGCTTTATTTTGTTCCATTTTGTACTTGTATACAGCATACTTGTATGTTCCATAATTGTACTTGTTTCTGCATGTGCAGCACTGTGCAAAGACTTTAGATACTAAAACTAAAGTGAGGATGCTGGTGCTATGAACAGTTTTACTCTTGCACAAAACTGCAAACTAAATCAAATCAATATTTGGTGCAACCAACCTGTATCTTTAAAACAGCACTAGTTATCCTTTGTACGTTTGCACACATTTTTAAGGTACTTGGTAAATAGTTTATTCCATAGATTTAGGCTGTCTCAGTGTCTTCTGTCTCTTCGTGTGATCCTAGACTGACTCCATGATGATGAGATCAGGGCTCTGAGGGGGCCAGACCACCTGTTGCAGGACTCCTTCTTCTTCTTCTTCTTGTCTCTGGAGATAGATGTTTATAACTCTGGCTGTATGTTTGCACAACGATATTCTTGTGAGGAAATGGCTGCATGATTTCTACAGCTTGTTTGTTTGAACATTTAATGTTAGTGTGAGAAGACTGACGCGTTGCATACTCTCCTGCTGTGCAGTAGCAGCACAGCGTACAGCAGCAGAAGCTCCTGTTTTGCTGTCGTAAAACAATGGTTTTATTGTCTATCACATAACACCAGCAGGTAGGAGTCTAATCGGTCCAAGATTAATTCCACAGCGGGATAATGACCCTAAACATACAGTCAGAGTCATAAAGAACCAGCTTCAGAGACTCGTAACGAAGGAACCGGAGGTGCAAATATGCTAACTTATTTCCGGGTTAGCAAAAAACGTTAGCTGTTGTTAGTCGTGAGCAAAAGCAATGGCGACTTTATGAAAGGACATCATCGCAAGACTACTTAGCAAAAAATGTAGATAACGATTACTTTTGGTTGATACGAGCAAAAATAAAAACAGCAGCTGCTGAGGTTTAGTTTAGTTTTGTAGCTTACCTTCTGATATCACCGGATGTTACCCGTGACACTGACTTCTTCTTCTGTGGGTTTCTTAGCGGATCGCGAAGCCGCTTTAGAAGTGCATACCGCCACCTACTGTGTGGAGTGTGTAGAATACTTGTATTAGATCATCTGAATACTGATTTAAATAAATAAAAATGAAAACTTCTTCTTCTTCTTCTTCTTCTTCTTCTTCTTCTTCTTCTTCTTCTTCTTCTTCTTCTTCCTTTACGATGTGCATCTATTGCAGTTGGTGAATACATGTTCTACAGTTTCCAGTGCCTGACATTTTTCACAGAGACTGGTTGAATGCACCATATGAAGTGTGCTGCATAGATTGCTGTGTCCTATTCTTAATGTTGATGTTATGACCTCTCCTATTTCTTCCCCTGCATCTTACACTGCCAACTTTGTTGTCAATAGCACAAAGTAAATTAGTAAATGAAGGATAAATCATTGACATCATAAATTAGTATTGATCACTCAAAATGGTCTGAGTATTGAAACTCATGTTTTGTAAGTCTATATAAATTTCACCAGTCATATTTGGGGTATTGACAGGCATTTAAAATGGTAAGACTGTAGACCATATCAGCTGTTTACTGAGCTGATCAGACTTTGTTTTCTTTTTTTAAATTCTCTCCACTAAAACACAAATGTTCGGTAGCTTTAGTTGATGTTTTACTAAGATGACTGTAGGGAGAAACATCATCAACAACTGACTTCATTTCGAGGCTGCAGATAAGTTCCACCTAAAGGGTGGCCAGGTGTGAGCAGCTGGGCAGCTCATTCAAGTTGTTGAATGCAATACAGTAAAAGACCAGTGGAGGGCCCCAGAGACCTCTAAGAACATCTTTGCATTGGTGGGTTAGGGTTCGATTCCTGGCCAATGCAACTCTCACTTTAAATTCTGCACACACACACACACACACACACACTGATTTTCCACTATTGTAACCAACTCTTTGCAATGATTAAACATGCAGTGGCAGGGGACAACCATTTGATGGCAGCTTTTGTACAGGAGACAAGACAAGAATAGGTTTTATGATAGGCACTGGTAGGCTAGTTATAACACACACACACACACACACACACACACACACTCACACACACACACACACACACACACACTCACACACACACACACACACACACACACTCACACACACACACACACACACACACACTCACACACACACACACACACACACACACTCACACACACACACACACACACACACACAGACACACATTAAATCAGTTCCTGTCACCAGGGTAGCAGCAATGTGTGTGATTGTCTGTCTGCACACAAATGATGCTTACCCTCTGTGTGTGTGTGTGTGTGTGTGTGTGTGTGTGTGTGTATGTGTGTGTGTGTGTGTGTTTTTTCTGTGCACAAGACAGAAAGCCACTTTGTTTGATAACCACCTCCCTCATACTCTCCTCTCTTCGCCCTCACCCTTGATTAAAGAATCAGACAAGCATGTCACACATACAAATATGCATAACACACACACACACACACACACACACACACACACACACACACACACACACACACACACACACACACTTACACATACTTGACACATGCACTCAGAACAAGATAGATTGAGCTGTAGCTGTAGCTCCACCAGGAATGCATGGGCACACATAAAGACGCAGCGAAGACGTATTAGCGGAGCTTGTCAAGCTTTTGCAAGAGCAATGAGGAGCGATGGAAGGAGGAGGGATATGTTGGTGGTGGTGGTGGAAGGGGGTGGAGGGGCTTGTTCCCATGGAAACTGTGCAGTCAGCACATCTGTACGTGTTATGCGCTGTCCTCTCTCATTGGCATCCCGCGGCCTCTCCCCACCACGGCTGGACATGACAGCATGCGCTCACATGTAGAGGATGCACTCACACGCAAATGCGCACAAACCGCTTGCCCTGACCCCGTTGCCGTGGTGACCATAGCCCTGAACCCATGGGATGTTATCTTGGTATATGAAACAATGCATAGCCTATTTGTGTGTGTGTGTGTGTGTGTGTGTGTGTGGCAGAGGCCAGACATACACACGAGTTGCTACTGGCACTGGGCAACTGTCTTCCCTTCTTCTGTTTCATCACCAGATTTTTTTTTTCCTCCTTCTTTTCTCTCCCTCTCCCTCTCTTTCATTCTTTCCTTCTCCCTCTCTTCTCTCCCCTTCTTTTCCCTCTGTCTCTCGCCCCCTCTCCCTCCGAGCATGAGGAGAATCAATATGTTTTCAATTTGCAGCAGAGCCTTCCTCCTCTGCATTCTAATCAGGCTCTACTGGCCCTTTAACTTCCAGAGAGAGAGAGACACAGGAAGAAACAGAGAGAGAGAGAGAGAGAGAGAGAGAGAAGAGGTGGGTAAAGACGGACCTCAACCAGGGGACATTTCAATATGCAGCAAAAGTGTAAACCTCAGGGTCAGTGGAGCACGCCCTTAAGGACATTTTGTCCTTAAGCACTCACACTACAGGATGCATGATGAAGACGACAGAGAGCAGAAGTCATGACGTCACATCCGGTCCGGCCGTGATCCCTCTCAACTCAGTAACTCAGTGCAGGCTCTCATTGGAGCTGCTTTCATCAGTCTTCCTGTGTGAAAAAGGAAATGTGATCACGGGGGTTCAGCCATATTCTAAGATAAATCTATATACTTGGTATTAGAAAATATATATATAAATGTTTTAAAATTAAATAATGTCTTGAAGTTTTACTTACTTCAAGAGAGGTGTACTTACTGTTTCTCTTGTACCCATGATACCCACCCACTATGTCATGTGAGGGTTAAAAAATGCTGTGTGTTGACAGTGTATCACCAAATCTGTAAAGCTGATTTTAATTACCTTCAGTGACAGAATTTGTCTGACACGAGTCATCCATGTTTGCCTGCTTTTTAGGCACTACCACATTATCAAGGGCCAAGTCAGACATATTGGCGATGTCAAACAAACAGTAACTCCCATATGACGTGAATGCGGCATCAGTGCGTCACCCTGTCAGTGTTTAACCTGTGACATCCTTGTGGGAAATGGTGTTAAAAGATACTAAAAACAAGAATTTTCCTGTCTTTTTTCTTTCTCTTTTTTAAAAAAAATATATATTTATCATCTCTTTCTACACGAATGGACTGACTCATACAACCTATTGTCAAGCAAGGTTGTGTTCCAGGGTTGCATATTTAGTCCTTTTGTTCATTACAAATGTCAGTGTGGATCGGAATTAGAAGAACTTCTGAAACTTTGCTTTCACTTCAGCTCACTATAGATACACACCAACCAACCGTCTAAGGCAGACATGCAAGCGATGCTGCTCGTTTCTTTTAATAGCTGCTGTACAAAGGTGTTGTTGTTCATTCTTAAAAAGGTAACCTGTGATGTTTTTGACCACTAGAGGCACTGTACTGTAGAGTCTTATCTTCTACCAACATGTACATACATACACGCCACCGTACAGCTGCCAATTGTCTGTTCATGTATTTCCATGGGACATTACAGTGTTTAAGTTGATGGTTGCATTTTAGCTTAACATCCTCCAATGTGACACTGTCTTTTATGTACATTCAGTCTTTATGGGCTCCTGTTGCTATTTTGCTGCTCTAATGAATAGATTTCTCTACAGGGATCAGTCATTATCATCTTGTCCTCTTGTGCTCATGGGGGCAAATAAAGTCATCCTGATTCATCAAGACATATTATGTTTGAATCACTTTTAATAGTACCATAATCTGGTTTTTTCACTATTCCAGAACGAACTGTTTGCAGACACGGGGGCTTGAACCCAAGAGACTTGCATCAACTTCACTTTTTTTCACATAGTATCACCCTTCTGTCCATCACTGACTGGCAACACGAAAGCCCTACATCTGCTGTTGAATGTGCTGTCGCCAAATGCTAGGAGTGTTATGATACTGCGACAAACACAAACCAATACGTTGAAAAAGTAAAGAGATATAATCGGTGAATCCAATTTGACATTTTTCGGTCAGAACGTGGCACTGGCTCAATGAGTGCTGTGAAATGACTGGGCAGCTTAAATGAGCTCAGTATACATTTCATGTCAGTCTGCCCATTAGATTTTGTTATTTTTGTGTGCTGGTTGGAATTTTTATTGTATTAGAGGGAAGGTCAGGTGCCCATTAAAACATTAGGACTCATCCTCCAGGGAGCATGAATATGAAAAGTTAACTTCATGAGAACCCGGCCATCAGTTTTCAGGATACGTTGTCACTTAAGAGCTAATGAAGTGGAAATTTTGACCTGATAGTAGCACTTAATTAAATGTCAAGAACTTGTGACTCGTCCTCTGGAGACCAGGAACACTCAAACTGTAATTGCCAATTTTACCCTTGCTATGTGGGGTGTCTTGCCGAGTGCACTGATGATCATCTCTACAGTTTTGAAGTTGGAGGAGCTGTTGGTTCCAGAGATTTTTCTCACTATTTTTAACATACTAAATTAATCAGTATAGAAAAATGGCCATGCCTTATGATCCTATAGGTTTATGTAAAGCAGTGTGTTTTACCATCAGTTTGAGACTCTAAATACAGTATCAAACCTTTAACAACTTTATAAACACTGGCTTGTGCCTTGTACTTTTTAAAATCAAAGAACCAGATATTTTCTATTCTATTTCTATTGTATTTGAATGTTCTCAGCTGCTGATCAGTTTTATCAGTGATTCAACCTGGACAGCCTAACGCCGGATCAAGGCGTGGACGTGCTCCCACTGTTGGTCGCCTCGCATTGTCAGATTGTCACATTCATTGCAGATGAATTAAATAACTCAAAAAGATTTTTTCCTCCGGAACCAAAGGAGCCTAAAATAACCCACTTTGACACTCTACACGAACAGACCTCCTCTGACTAATCTTTCTATACTTGCATAAGAATGCACAATAACTGTAATTAATCTGATGTAGAATAATGACAAGCAGGTGACGGCAGATAAGGTGGGCTCTGTGTAGGCTGGTGTTCTTGGACAAAATGTGTCAGCTCAGTATTGTCCACACTGCGAGTGCCATCCAACACAAACCACGGAAAGAGGGTCAG